AAATTTAGAATGGGGAATGGTCATATAAAAAACGAAGAATCTGCCAGAGTTTCTATTCCAGGACAGATAAAAAAGTAATTGTATAATATACATTAACTTTTACTTAAACATCACTAATTATTATGGTTTTAGTACTGCCACTGGTAAACTTGGTACAGATGAATTTGAAGAACCAATAATTGAGACTCCGGTATTAACAGAAGCTGTCTCAGAATCCCAATATTCAATTGATTCTATTATAGAAGATGAAGAATTTGGCGCATCTTCATTTTCTGTCAGTATAACTAACCATTAATTTTATAAAATACAGATAAGCCATYCTATATATAACATTGGGATCAACAAATTGCATTCAGCCGTTGGGTCAGTGTCTGTTTACATTTCGCTAAATATAAACGGACATGGCAAACCTAACAACTGAATGAAATTTTCTAGTTCCAACATTAAAAATACAATTGCATACTGTATATCRTAAAATTAATGAACTAAACTAGTGAATAATAATATTGTAGGTACATGTATGTTAATTTATATGAATTTATGTTTTCCAGAATGAAATATCATTGGGTAATTACACATGGAGAATTGATTTGTGTAAGACAGAAAAACATTGGCCTGGATGGTTTCAAGGACTTTCTAAAAAATTTTTATCAATACATGCGCAAAAATTATTATTACTGGCTAATATTGATCGCATGGACAAAGACTTGACTGTTGGTCAAATGCAAGGTAACATAATATTGTGTTAATGAATGATCACTCATAGTAAAAGTTAATTAAATGTCTATTTGTATTATTCTGAATTGTTCATCAATTAGAAAATATTTTATTTTATTTTACACCATTAGGTAAATTTGAAATGCAAGTATTACCTAGAGTTGGACATGCTGTACAAGAAGATGATCCGGAAAAAGTTGCTAGTATCTTGTCAAATTTTTTGGTACGAAACAAATTTGCAAATCCAACTGGAGATTTTGTTCGGTAAGTCTAAATATTTATTTAAGTTAAAAACATTTTGGAAATACAGTGATGGTACATGCTTTTATTTTTAAATACTTAATAAAAAAAAAAAAATTACGATTAGGCCCATTTTAGAATGGTCACAAGTCTGCTGATAAAAATTAATGAAAAGATTAGGTTGTATGTTATACATTCACATCACAATTCATTAATGCAAACAGGCAGCAATTGATTACAATTTATAAAATGGACATAGATAAAGTAATGTTTATCAAGTATTTTTTTAAATAATTCTTTCCATTTGAACAATATTGTGTTATTAGAATAGTCTAAGATGAATTTGAATGCTTTTGACAAATTCAGTTAAACATAAATTTGTTATATGTTGATTTTATATTTATATTGTATTCAATAAAATTTTAAATGTGTGTTGCAGTATTCTTCCTGGATGTTAAGATACGTTATTCAAGTATTCAGCTAATCAATGGCCTTCTAAAATTAATAAGAGTATTGTATATGTCAATATAAGAGTTAGAAATATTTATTTATTTTTAATACAAATGCTTATAACTATAATAAAAATATTTAATTATATAAACAATTATGACAAATGACAAATATATAAGTGGATGTACAAACTGTATCCTATTAATAATGAATATTGTACTTATAAAAAAAAAACAAGCATGTGTAATATATTTTCCTATGCAATTAACAATAATCTGTACTTTTATACATAAAAAATTTGATTTCGTTTAGTGTTCTTAATACAATTTATTTGTGTTATATTTCTTTTGAAATGTAGTTTTTCATTAGTCATATCAATGAAAAAATTTAATTTAAGTATCTATTGTAAGTATTTATGGATTAAAAACAAATAAGTTACTCAAGTAATTAAAAAGAGACACAAACATTTAATTAAATGAAACTTAATTCAACCTAAAGTTTATTATTAATTAGGAGTTTTAATTTCATGTTTCAAACAAATTTTGAATGCATCCCATCCTTCATTTTTGGTGTATGACTAAAACAAAGTGCCAATATAAATTATTAAAACACATATTTTAATTTATTAAATAGTATATAATAGTTGTATAATTATCCAATATTTATTGTAATAAATGTTCATTAAATCATACTGGAATTTTTAATTCAGCAATAGCACTATTTATAAAAAAATATGTCATGGACTTATAATAATAAGAATTCGTCTCATTGAAAAAAGTACCTAAATTGAATCAATTTAATTTTGATATTTTTAAAACAATTATAAATGGTATAATGAAATATTATAGCACATTGGTACCTTGAATCCTCTATTCAGCCGGTCTTTCATAATGGCAATAAATTCTCTATAACTCAATTGACCATCACCATCCTCGTCAAATATGGCGAACACAGTATGCACAAGATGCTTGCTCAAACTGGTTCCTGTACATATCTTAACAGCCCTATGAAATTCATCTGTAAATTAAATAAAAATATTATTGTATTGGAGTCTCTTCATCTAAATTATGATCGGTATTAAACAAGTGCATTTTAACTRAGTTTCTAAAGTAATAAAAAATTGACAATATTTTTGTTTAAACTGTAATATAATAAGTRTATTTTTTACAATACAAACAGATTAAAAAAATTCCACAACTTCTAAAATTATACTATTTAATAGTTTGTGAAATATGTAATTAATATTAATTAGTATATTAAGTGATTTCTAGCACCTCAGCATTTCATATTTGTATTAACTGTTTATGTTATTCAGATACAAATATGTTATTACTTTATTACTTATTACTTTATGCTAAAATATATTACCTTTAGATATTGGGTGATCGGCCAGTGTATACATTCTCATAGCTATAGTAAAGTCCTCCAAATTATTTAAGAATTGACAAAAAACTTTAAACTCGTCAAATGAAATGCCTGGTGGAATGCCTTTGTCCATTTTGATTCTCTCCAACAATCGGTCTAGGTATGTATCACACCTATTGTAAATATAAATATCCAAGTGTCCAACTTATAAAATCATACATAATAGTGCATAAAATTAATTTAAAAAACTTACAGATCCGTATCCAAGTGAGTGTATCTTAATAATATTTTGGCAAAATCCATTTCACTTATGGTGTCTCCTCCTTTGGCAAACTGTTGGAACTCCATTTCAAGTACTTCAGTTTGTAGGTTTTCCATAAAACTAACAAAAAATATAAATCATATCTTTATGACTATTATACCATATAAATTCCACATATTATAAGTTATATGATTAGGTATTTAAGAGTTTAATATCCATATTTCGTATTTGTTTGTCGTCTCAATCTTACAAACGTGTGACATAGCAAATCGATCCATAATCAAAATTTTGGATAAGAACATTATCCTCGAGTCTTCTTTTTTACTTGAAGGAAAATGTTCAAGGTACTGAATATTTACATCAATAAATTAAATATATATAGACACACATATAATCTGCTCATAATGATTTTCGTGTGATTTATCATAGAATTCAAATGTAATACATTCGTGATTCGTACATAGTAATGGTCTACTCGATAACATATGCAGAGTGATTTTTCACGTGTTTTAAAATTGTTTTTATGAAAATCTATACCAAGTGTAGTAGTGTAAAATATATA